TAGATTTTTATGTGCACCTCTAGTTTTCTCTTCCTCTTCTCTAAAGCAGCGCAGCATGGCCTCGCCCACTTTGCTGCCTTTTCCCGAGGGTGAGGTTTATCAGGGTTTGTGATGTCACGAACCCGGGAAGTAACTTGTTGTAGTCCCCTACAAGCCGTTTTTGTAGGCATTAAACTGCCAGACTTTTAAAAGACGATATCTCCGTTTGCATTGAACTTTCAGCTTCGTAACTTCCTACTTCCTACTAGCTTCCTACAACGAGCCACTCGCATCTCACAACAGTTGTCAGCCTGCCAGCCCCACGAAGCCGCCCACCAGCCCTTCGCGTCCACCAGTGGTCCCTCTGTACCAGAGCCCATGCAAATGGATTCTACCCGACTCATTCGCGCCGAGCGCGCTCGCCGCTTAGCGGCCGGAGTCTGCCATTACTGTGGTGCTCCAGAACATTTCATCAGCTTCTGCCCAGTCAAACCTCCACGCCCGGCGGTGAGTACCCTCCAAATAGAACCAGAAATATCGACCTTATCCCTGCTACCAGTGCAACTGCTAACCCAAGACCTCTCGGTTTCAGTTTCAGCCCTCGTCGACTCGGGCTCTTTGGGCAATTTCATATCCTATGACCTCCTAAATCATCTCCATCTATCCCGCCTACGTCAAGCCCGGGAGCTCCGAGTCGAGACGATTCAGGGAAAGCCGCTAGGGCGTGGGCGGGTGCAGTTTCGCGCCCCACCGCTAAGATTGAGGATCGGATGTCTGCATGAGGAAATCATTTCCTTCCTGGTACTAGAGGGACCCACAGTGGATATCATCCTGGGACGCCCCTGGCTCCCTCTCCACTGGTCAGATGGGAGCCCTGTGATATCACTCGCTGGAGCGAGTCATGCCATATAAATTGTCTCAGCACTCTACTCGTACCGCTTCCACGCCCCATCAAGGCTCAAGTTGCTTACACCCTTGTTGAAAGTCCAGAACCTCAAGAAACACCAACCGTCCCATCTGACTATGCAGCGTTCCAGGATGTCTTTAGTAAGCAGGCAGCCACTCGCCTTCCACCGCAATGGCCATGGGAGCCATCGACTTGCTACCTGGGGCAAAACTCCCTAAGGGTAGAGTATACCCACTGTCCATCCCGGAGCGCAAGGCCATGGAGGATTACATCCAGGAGGCTCTTAAGCAAGGTTTCATCCGACCATCCACCTCCCCGGCAGCCTCAAGTTTCTTCTTTGTGGGCAAGAATGACGGGGGCTTGAGGCCGTGCATCGACTATCGCATGCTGAACTCCCAGAAGGTGGAATTACCGTACCCACTTATCCTGGTCCCAGCCGCCTTGGAGGAACTCCGTGGAGCTCGCGTCTTCTCCAAAATGAACCTGCGGAGCGCGTACAACCTCGTTCGAATCAGGGAGGGCGACGAGTGGAAGATGGCGTTCATTACCCCCGCAGGCCACTATGAATATCGGGTCATGCCGTATGGCTTGTCAAACTCCCCGTCCGTCTTCCAAAGCTTCATGAATGAGGAGTTCTGGGAGTTCCTCAATAAGTTCCTGATTGTCTACATTGATGATATTCTCATCTACTCCCGGAACCTGGCCGAACATCGCCACCATGTCACGCAGGTCCTTCAGAAGCTCCGTCAACACCAGCTGTATCTGAAATTGGAGAAGTGCGAATTCCATCGCTTCTCGGTCCAGTTCCTCGAATATGTCATCAGCAAGGAAAGGTATCCAGATGGACTAGGAGAAGGTTAAGGCCATCAGGGAGTGGCCGCTCGGTGAAGGAGTTACAAAGATTCCTGGGATTCGCGAACTTCTATCGACAGTTTGTGAAGAGTTTCAGCATGCTCACGGCCCCACTTACTTCCATGCTACGAGGCAAACCCAAGTCCCTGTCCTGGAACAGCCATGCCCGCGAAACATTCAGCCAGCTCAAGGAGGCCTTCAGCACGGCTCCCATCCTTCACCATCCGGATCCCCAGGTACCATTTGTAGTGGAAGTTGACGCCTCTACCACCGGCGTTGGGGCCGTGCTGTCACAGCAATGTGGGGAACCTCCAATCCTCCATCCTTGCGCTTACTTCTCCAGGAAACTGAACCCGGCGGATTAGAATTATGACATCGGCAATCAGGAACTGCTCGCCATCAAACTAGCCCTGGAGGAGTGGCATCACTGGCTGGAGGGAGCCCAACACCCCTCCAGGAAACTGAACCCGGCGGATTAGAATTATGACATCGGCAATCAGGAACTGCTCGCCATCAAACTAGCCCTGGAGGAGTGGCATCACTGGCTGGAGGGAGCCCATCCCCCTTGTAGCGTCTGCGTAAAATCATGGATGGTCTTTGTGGTTTTATGGCTTAAGAGACCCCTTTTAGCCTTTGACATTTACAT